CATTGAAAAGTGAAACTACCAGAATCAAGAAAATGGGGTTAAAGGGAACATTTATTGATAAATTCAATATGCTTGATAAAAGAAGTACAAGAAACATTAGAGTAACAGGAAGTGCTACAAAAACTTAAGTTGTTAAAAATATTTGAATAGTCACACAACTCTCAAATAGCTGGAGAAGATTCTTGAAAGAGATGTTGTTCCAATGTGTTTGCTTGTTTGTTTGTAGATTTAATGTAATGGTTGTTTCGTTCTTAAACAGTATGTCTTATTTGTACCTCTTTGTTTTTGTTCTTTCTTTTTTTCTTTTTTCTCTCTTCTTTTTCTTAATCTTGAAAAATTTTATGTGTATATATTTGTAAAAAAAAATTAATAAAATAACTGAACTCAAAGAAACAGATCACAGGATACAGAGAGTGAATGGCACACTTGCCTACCAAGAAGTGATGGCTAATGGTTTCCATGTTGGAAGGGTGATGAATCTCTCCTCATTTTAGTTCAAACTTTAAAAGAGCTATTCAAGGTGCTGAGTCTACTTTGAAGACAGGCTTTGGCACTTTGGATTGCTCCATTACAGTTTGGACTAAAACCTGGAGTGGATTCACTGCTCTAGCATTTTTACTAAGACAGCAGTCACTCGTTTCTGGAAAGGAAAAAACAAAACAAAACAACAACACCTCTTTATTTTAACCTGGTATAATTATTATAATTTGCATCAGTTTTGATGTTACATCAATACTTTTTAATTAATATTTATTTAAGTATTTTTATCTTGCCTTGAACAACATCCATACATGGATGTGTATCATGAAATTGGACCAAGTTGCAGACTTCTTGGACTGGCTTAAATCCTTCAACTGAATTCCTCCAGTTGAACTGGTATCAGACTGCTATAACTGTGTACTATAAATACATTCACTTTCTCATTGAACTCAGTGGAATTTATCTGAGAAGATACACACACACCAATATAAATGTTGCTGTCCTAAAAATTAAAAGCAGTTTTGTAAATGGATGACTTGTTTCATGGTGTAGTAATCACTGAGCAATGGCTATAACTATGATGTATGAACTCTAACATTATGGCATACTATGGTTTGTAC